TCTTCATCTGAAGAGAAAACTTTCTGAACCGTTCATTTTTTGGAACGGTCAAAATAGGATTTCATCAAAATGAGAACGCTTTCCTCGACGTTCTCTCAAGAAATACTTGAGAATGGATTCCTCGAACTGATGAATGCATTCCAGGCAATCTAACCTCACTAGCGAGAACCCGTGCATACTGCATGACTGTTTTCCCCTTTAATGTATGACCTCAGACATTTAACCTTTCATCCGGTAAAGTACATACAGACACGCGATATTATGTATATAGATAGGTTGCCCAACGACCTCATACTTTCATATCGCACATATTTTTATAGTCCATGCAGTCTTCGACCTTATATTCCTTGTAACTTATCTCCCTATTGCCTTACTCCCTTCAGGGCCTATGAGTATCACAATATAATAGCCCTTGGGGACCTATGGGTACCCACAAAGGATAGCCGTTGGGGACCTATAGGGGTACCCTCATAGGATAGGCCTTGGGGACCTACGGGTACCCCCATAGGATAGCCCTTGAAAACCTATGGGTACCCCCATAGGATTGCCCTTGAGGACCTATGGGTACCCCCATAGAATAGCCCTTGAGGACCTACGGGTATCTTGATAGGATAGCCCTTGGGGACCTTAAGTATCCCATATAATAGTCCGTGGAGATCTCTCCTTATAGCATTACGTGACCTTTAACCTTTGACGTTTAACCTTTGGTCCTTGACCCGGCACAGAGAAACAGACAGGCAGACACTGAACATTATATATATAGATTCTTAGAGAGAAAAGTACACGTTCTCTGTCGTTCTCCTAATTGTCGAACACTTTCTCATGAATTGAAAAATCAGTTTTAAAAGCACAGAATACACCTTCTGTTCCGTATCATAACCCATATAAAGTTATTCCGTTATATTGGGAGTGAATGTTGATTAGCTCGAAATAGATTCGTCAATGTTCTCAAATATATTAAATTTGTTTTTCTCACTGTTTTCTGCATAAAAAATTAAGATTATAACCCTTAGTTTTTTTTTAATCGATATCTGTTTTCAGCGTTGAGATTTTGGCTGTCGATATCGTAACAGTCTTATTTAGAATACACTGACAATACAATAAAAATAGACACAAGTAATGTGTAACAATAAGAAGAATAGTAGAAAAATTCAGAGTCGTTTGACAAACGAATAAACAACAATTCGTCTCTTGAATGAGCTTAATATGCTGTTTCCACAGTTTGTATTGTATTGCTCATTTACTTTGTTGGTTTACATTTCAATAGAAATAATCATTTCCTTTATCTAGTAAAGATAAAATCAGTGTTCTTTCGATTGTTTTCAATATTAATCGGAAAAATCATTTTTTGAAAATTGTTTTAGTTTTATCCAATCTCAAAAGAAATAGTCGTTTTCTTCATTCAATAAAGATAAAGTTATTGCTTCTTTATTTTTATTTCATCTTGATAGAGATAGTCAATTTTTTTTGTGAAACACAATCTAAAAGGAGTGTTGAAGTGTATAGGGTAGAAATTTGGACCCCCCTCCTCCCACCCAACAGACCGTGGCAGAGAAATCGAGTACCCATCACAGACCGTGATAGAAAGGCTCCAAACATCATCACAGAGCATGACAGAGAAAATCCAAATTTCTTCATTCACAATATAAAAAGCTTCGTTGTGTTTCACATTTTTAATCCCGCAGGGATTGCGCTGAAAGCTTTTTATCTAGCAAAGATAGAGTTAGTTTTCCTTTCGATATTTTCCATCTTAATAAAAACAATACGATAAATAGTGGAATGCTACGGATTTACTTTTTCGGCAGTCTTTCGGAACACCTGTATACAGAGTGGACCAAAAGTAATCTAATACAGACTTGTTCTCAACTTTTTATCTTTATAGATCCATAGTTCGATCTCATATTTAGATCACATAAACTATTAGGTTGTCAACAAAGTTTTTGCGTTTTTTCAGAAATTTTATTTTTATTTTTCAACTCCAACAGTACAACTAGCTTTCAATTAGATATGCACCACTACTATCTATGACTTGTTGCCAACGCTCTGGCAGGGATAGGATCCCGCCTTCATAGAAGTCCTGGGACTTTTGACCGAAGAAGTTGACGAGTTCTATTTTGACGTCGTTCTCGCCGTCGAACTGTTTCTCACGCATATGGTTAGAAGGAGAACGAAACAAATGGTAGTCCGTTGGAACCAGGTCAGGAGAATAAGATGGATGACGAACGGTAATCCATCCGAGCTTCAATAATTTTTCGTGCGTCGACTTTGCAACATGAGGTCTCGCGTTATCATGCAAATAGTAAATTCGATGCTGCTTTTCCTTGAGTTTTTCGGCAACCCGGTCCAATTGCTGACAGTAGAAATCAGCAGTCATGGTGCAACCATTTGGAAGAATTTTCCAGTGAATAATCCCATTGACTCCCCACCGAACGCTCAGCAACACCTTCTTGGGATGCGGATCAGTCTTAAGCGTTGCTACGCCTGTTTGACCAGCGCTCAGCCACTGGCGTCTGTGTGTGTAGTTAATGTACAACACCCCCTTCTCATTGCCAGTGATAAGATTGCAGAGCCATTGGTAGTTGCGGTGAGATGTCATTAAATCCGTACAAGCATCAACCCTGTGTTGAAGCTGATATGGTGATAACTCGTGGGATATCCAAACTCCATGTCTTGCCTAATTCGTTCAGATGTTTTTCCACCGCAGTATAAGAGCACCCAAGCTGCTCTGCTAAATATCGTAATGTAAATCGAGGATATTCTTCGATAAGCTGCCTTAAGAGATCCACATCCAGTTCCAGTGGTCTACCGGATCCATGGAATAAAAAAATGGCGAAAAATGATGTAATTTACATCATTTTAATGGAAACCTTTCCACGGAGACATGATGTCGAAAATGAAAAACATGCTATGATTCACGATGAAACGAACAGTTTCATGCATGTTTTTGAAATTCATCCAAGTTTTTCGAAAATTTCATTCCAGGAAAATGATTTACAACACATAAAAATCTTTTCCTGAAAAAGATTAAAATTTAATCAAAGCCATGTCCTTATAACAATGAGAAAACTTCTCCGTCTAAGCCACATGCAGACTTAGACGCAGATGGCTTATGAGCCTTTCACAAAGCCTAGGCTGATTGCCCTTCGAGAGGCTACCAGCTGAACTCTTAAATAGTTCATTTTACTCTAGAGCCATGTAAACTGGCATGGACTTAGAGTATTAAAATTTATGATTAGCAATAGAAAAAAGTAGGGCACGACATCCTATCTGCCCCTACACATGTCGTTTTTTTTATAAAACCAATCTTTGTAAGTATGTGAAAGGACAGATACGGAGATAAGATTCATCATTCATCATTCATCAATTTTTTTGATGAATTATCAAATTCATGAAATGCAAATGATGCAAAAGTAATGAAAGTAATGCAGTGATTTTGATGTTTCAAGAATAGAGAATTTAATGGAATAAAAATGATGCAAAATTAATGAAAGTACTGTAATGATTATAGTTTTGTAAAAAAAACTCCAGATCATCTAATGAAAATAATGCGAAAAAAACTAAAACTCGTGCAATGATTTTAATTTTTGTGGAATAGACAATTTAATGGAATGAAAACAATGCAAAAATAATGAAAGTACTGTTATTATTATAGTTTTTCAGAAAAGTTAAGATTATCTGATGAAAATCATGCAAAAAAAACTGAAATCAATGCAGTAATTTCAATTTTTCTAGAATAAACAATTTAAGGCAATGAAAATGATACAAAAATAATGGAACTATCGGGATCAGTTTGACTTTTGCGAAATAATTAAAGTAACGGAATTTTTTTGATGAAAAGTTTGGAAATAATCATTTAAATGAAATTTTCATTTTTTTATTCCCTGAAGAGCGAGGTAAATCGTCGAGTTCAAAGTTACCGTTCTTAAAGCGATTGAACCAATGTTGTGCCGTATGGATGGATAGCACATCCTCGCCCATCGTGCTGCATATGTTGTTAGCTGCTTCCGTTGCTTTGTGACCCAGACGGAATTCATGAAGCAAAAGCACTTGAATTTCTTTACGAGAAAGATTCATTTTCAGTCCATGATCAACGTTCGTATCGATGGCTTTATTATCATTCGAAAGATATTCATACTTCCTTTATATACTCTTAGTATGGAAACTTCTAGAACTTTCTCGAATGTTTTAAAAAAAAAACTCAAGAACTTTGTTGACAACCTATAATGGATAACACTACTCAGAGAAAGAGCCTATTATTAGCCACTGGCTAAAAGAATTTGTTGGAAAACATACGATTATCTTTCGTACACTCTTATATGATTCTCACACAAGTTTGTAGTTTTCTTGTAATGTTGCGTCGTTTCTATCTTCTGGTCTGTTTGCATTACAATATACAGAATTATTTAAATTCTATTGATCTTTATGTTGCTTCAGACGTGTTGCGTGAAAAATTACTCAAAAATGAAATATAATGAAAAAAAAGACATTGACTTCGATTAGACAGTAGCGAACTTACGTGACTGTTATATAACAGTATACAAAAGATATTTGTACGTTTTCCAACAAATCCTTTTAGCCAAAAGCCGATAATAGGCTCTTTCTCTGAGTATTATCATCTAGTAAATACGGTCCAAATATGAAAACGAACTATGAGCTTATAAAGAAAAAAGAAAAGTTGAGAAGAAGTCCGTGTTAGATTACTTTTGGCCCATCCTATATAGTGTTCAGAAAAATCTAAAATGATTAATAAAAAACATCAAACAAATATGTTTTCGTAAAAGAAAATTGTGACTAAAGTTCCGAATAAGTTTTCGATGCTTTTCGGTCTAAGATTTTTGTAGCTGTCAAGAAGCATACACGATCAAATTCTTTTATTTATTTTTGCACTAGGCACTTTGCTCTTTCAAACCAAAAAAAAAGAGTCTTTCCGATATTCCATCGCAACGCTATATCACAAATAAAGTTAATGAAAAAGTTTTGCGGCCACCCGTGAATTTCTTTCATGCATTTTTCAAATTCAATAAAAAGAGATTTGAGTTGACAAAACGTTTTCTTCGTCGACGTGGTTCGGTATATTGTAAGTGTGGCAAAAGACGCTGGGCTACATTGATTGAACGCTTTTTACGCAGATCAACACTCGACAGCTGATCAATAGTTGGAAGTTTACCATTTCTTAGATAATAATCAATAGTTAAATTCAAATGTCGTCGAATTTCAATTGGATACTCAATAAATAGATCGGTTAATGGTGATAGAGTTCGATTAATAACAACTGGTGTAGAAGAAGCTCGATCTAACCAAATATCCCATTGTTTATGTTTTGTTGTAGGTGTTGTCATTACAGATGGTGAGAATTTCACCTCTATTTCAGTATTTTTTTTAAACTCTTCAGTAGTATTATCAACTTCAAAATTGAAATTATGAGAAACTGACATCTGAGATAGTATAGATCCGAAACCAATACTCATTTGTTTTTCAATCGATTGTTTATCATAATGTTCTTGATATTTGCTGTTGACTTGAGTAAACATTTCAACAACACCACCAATAACAATCGACGAGATATAGTGAGTACCGAATGTTGATATAATTTGATTATAATACATTTGTTGAGTATCTGTTGTTGGATTAGCAATTAACTTTGATAAACTTCGATTAAATATTGGATCAAACCTAAGAATAAAACAAAATGATGAATTGCCATCGTGTTTGAGACGGGAGATATCCCATTAGGTAGGCATTACTAAGATCAGAAGAAGCCTGAAAGAATTTCTGCGCATACTCTGTTCTCCAGAAGTTATGAACATTTAACTATATTTTTCTATTGTTAGCGTGGTATTTCTAGAAACGCTGTACCAAAAGTAGAAAAATCTGGTTAAATGGTCATAACCCTTGAAGAACAGTGCATAAGAAGGAAACCATCTAGACTTTTTCTAGTCTGACTAAATTTTACCTAATGAGATGTCTTATGTTAAACGTAAAGTTACACCTCGAAAGGCTTCCTCGTTATACAAAAGTCAAATAATAACAGAAAAAAAGCACTAGCTGCAGAGAAAAACTACATAGAAGTAGTTTTTATATTTATGACTTACCAAGAAAATTTGTAGTGTTGAGAAAAGGAATAAAAAACACACTCTTTTCATTTCTTTCAAAATCACTCCTAACTTCCGATACCTCGAAATACTATCTCTAGGATGAACAAATAATTCTATATACACGCGTCAGAATGACAAAGGGTTGAGTGTACCCTAGGGAAAATCTTTGATGTTTCAGCGCCGGATCCTAGACAGATATGATCAGGATCCTGCAAGGATTAGCTATTTTTTCCTGAGGAAACAACTAAATCCTGAAAGAAGTGTGTAGCCACAGAATTTTAGGATCTTGACAAGTTCACCATTGCTTTTTGATTCAGGATTAAGCCAGGAAAGCGCTGATTCCTGAAAGAAGTGTGTAGCCACGAAAGTGTAGGATCCTGTCAGGATTTCAATAATTCAAAATTGAGAAAAAAAGATTTCGGATCATATCTTTCAGGATTTTATTAGGTTTCCTCGAAGATGTTATCAAATTTCCTGGCAGGATCTGTGCAGGATTGCTTTAAGTTTCCTTCAGAATATTATCAGTTTATTGACAGGATCTTTGTAGGATTTTCTAAATATAATATAAGACAAATGAACACATGGAGTATTGATCTCTAGACCTTCAGTTTACATACCGATCAGCTTACCCAGCTGGATGTGCCATGTCAATCTATATCACTTCAAGATTCAATATCTTCATTTCTAACTTTGATACAAACTTCTGTTTGAATTTCATGTAGATGGAAATTATTTCAAAAAAATTCTGAAAATGCAAGATCATTTCACATATTTTTTTATTTAGTCAAATTTTTTACTTTTTTAAATTTCAATTCGATTTAAAAGATATATTTGGAGTTTTTTTATTTAAATTGAATTTAAAAAATACACTTAAAACTTTTTTATCTTAAGTGAATGTAAACAATCTATTTAGAATTTTTTTACTCTCAATGCATTCAAAAAGATAGTTGCGATTTCTTTAGTTCAATTAGGATTTTCAAAAAAATCTATCTTTTTCTTTTAAGCTGATTGAAAATATATTTAGGAATTTTTCAATTTTGACACGAAAAATATATTTGGAATATTTCCAAACATAATCAAAACTATTAGTAGTTTTTATCGAAAGATTTGCTACTGATCAAACTTATATATTTAATGAAAATATTTTATGATGATTAATTCAAATTAACACATTAATTTAATAATAAACAGAAATCTGGACAGATCTTAACTGACTCCTCGTATTATCTTGTCAAGATCCTGATCATACTTATAATTTATTTTAAGCATTCGAAATGTCTATTCTTGAACAGTTCCTCTCAGGAACTTGATCGAGGTCTGACAGGATTTCTTAGTTGAGGATTCTAACTTATCCTGTTTTGTTCCTGATATGATCCTTCTCTGATATAACTATAATACTTGGCAGGATCTGTATGTCAGGATCCAGAAAAGATCTTGACTGAAATCCAATGGAATCTTCACAAAATTCTCTTTATGATTTGCGCTAGATTTCTGGATAGGATTACCAGTGAATCTTAGTAGGATCCTACAACTCATTTGAGAAAAAAGTCCGAGCAAGAACCTGAACAGATCCTGGATAGAATCCTGAATCACACTTGAGAGGATCCTTAAGACTTATGATTCTGGAAAATCCTTCAAATCTGTCTCAAAAAATTGGAATGGCTCTGTGAATTAAGCAGTAACCTTTAAACATCTTTGCTAAATCCTTACATTTTCTTATCAAGATCCTGATTAACATTTATATTGTCTTGCTAGGTTTGGAGACGCATATTCTTGAAAAGTTCTGAACAAGATTCTCATTGAATCTTTGCAGGATTAGTTAATTTTGTATCCTGATTGATCTTGTTATTTTCCTGACAAGATCCTCGTTTGATCTGGACATCACTCTTGACAGAATCCTGATACGAAGATTTGATCTAGATCCTGACGATAACCTGACTAAATCTTGGTAGAATCCTTTCTCATAATCTTGAGAGATTCTTTAGTAGGATCCTAAGTAAATCCTGCTAGGATCCTGTATTTTCAACTGAGAAAAATATCTGAGCAGCAACTTGAAGAAATCCTGAACAAGATCTTGTTTCACCTTGAAAAATCTTGGAAACCGGAATTACTAGAATTGGAAACAGGATCCAGAATAAAACTTGACAAAATCCTTGAAATTCAGGATCCTAAAAGATCCTGTCAAGGTTTCTCAAGGAATGAAAAGGATTGAGACTAGGGTAAGTCCAATGGTTCGACAACGGCAACGGCTAGCAATCTGCAGTTTTCAACCAACGAAAGAAGAAGGGCGACGGCAAGTAATTGACCCAAGAATGGGACATATGTAGGGTTATAGAGGACAACGTCCTCTATCCAGTACTATATTTACTATGGAATTCTTTTGTGCACCGTGGAAGAAAACTAGACTAAAAGGTATTAATTTTCATAGTTTTTAGAGCGTTTTCTTTACCCTAATCAAGAAAATAGTATAAGATCAAGCTAAAACGTACTCCAACTATGTGTGTATCGTTCTACGGGCCCCATTCTTTACTTTCATGGTTTGTATTACTCTTCTTGATACTCACGCTATGTTCTAACTTGTAATAATTTAAAAATACATTCTATACATTTTTCATAATGTTAGAAAAACCAGTATTTATAACTTAGCAATTGGTATTTTGAAAAATATATTTCAAATACTCAAAATTAAGAGTGTTTTTCTTTCTAAAAGATTATATGTAGAATAATTCTGTGCGAATTTTCATTAAGTTCATCAATATTTTATTGAGACACGATAATTTTAAATTGCATTTGTCACTTTCCAAGATGTTGGAGAAATATTATCCTTTGTATTATATGCTGTTTCGAAGATTATATAATATGTTCCTGATATCGTGGAAAAGTTCATCAAGTGCAAGAATGTTCATGAAAACTGTTCTTTTCCTCTTATATACAGGGGGTCCCAAAATTATAGAGCCCCCCTTTATTTTTGAAAATTTTCAGAAAAGATGAATAGCTAGATCAAATCTAAATAGTGATTTAGATAGCCCTTGAAATTCTCTATCGAA